ATAAATCTTCAATTTATGAGCTTAAGACACTCTACTAGATATTAATGAGCTGACATCTATGATGCACGGACACGGACATAGCGACACGAGACACGGCTTTTTTTGAAAATATAGGACACGGGTACGGCGCTGACACGGCAATACATTTTTTTATATATTCTATATATATTAATGTAATATCATATTAAAAATGACAAATAATAATAAAGAGCCATTGGGGAGCATGCAGTGAGTGCAGAACTACCAGCTACTATGACGGAGGATTTAGAAGTGGTTGTAGAACCACTAGAGCTTGCAGGAGTCCGACCAGATAAAATGGGCAACAAAGAAGTGCTGCTAAAATGGAGAGGCCTTCCAGATTTCGACGCTACATGGGAGCCTTTTAAAAGAGTGAAGGAGCAATTCCCTTCTTTTCACCTTGAGGACAAGGTGAGTTTTTGGGAGGGGAGTAATGTTACGCATGAACCGGCCCAAGAGGGGCCGGCTAGACCCGGTTCAGCCCGAGTCTACATTAGGCGGGGGCGGAAACGCCCAGAGGAGGGGGCGGACAAGGTGGACCCCACTTGGGGCTGATTTAATTATGTGGGAGGGAAATTTTTAAATGCAAAGGGTTGTTTAGGTAATTTGTAGGAATCCTTGATTGTTAATTAGGAGGATTAGGAGGGAGAGGGGCTCATCTTGAATTTGAATCATTTTTGAGATCTAGGGTTTGTGTGAGGAGTGTCGGACGAGTGTCGTGTCATACACGGTGTCGGACACTGCACGCCTCTTTGAGGAGAAGTGTTGGTGCATCATAGGCTGACATCTAGTAGAAGATATTAAAGCTTACTGAAAATAAAATCCAACTTGATTTGACCCCCCGTTGCCTACATCAACCAACCTTGGAGACGGTCGGGTTCGTGGTTCTTATTTTCTATCTCTTTCTTTCCCTCCTCCCACCACCACCATCTGGCCACACTACCTCCATCCCTAACCTAATCGTCGGCCTTCCTTGTTTTTCCCACCCGACGGCTAAATCCAGCCACCCCACCACCCATGACCCCTCCACCTTGTCGCCGGCCCTTCTTTGGCCCCCCTCCCAACTCCCCTTTGTTATTAAAGCTTTCCTAATTTAGTTTTCTTAATTTAGGCAATGCAATTAAAGGCAAATTCAAATTTATTTGAATTTGAAATTATTTCCTAAATTAGAAATCCTAATTTTGGAAACTTTCCAAATCATAGCTTTTGAATTTTAAATTAATTTGGGATGAGATATTTCTTCCCAAATTTAATTTATTAATTTAAGGAAGCCTTGATTGCCTCATTAAAGCCCACCTCTCCCTATTGTCGCCGGCCCCACTAGTTTCCCCTTGGGGATTTCTTTCCAAAACCCCATTGGCTCTTTTGGAAAGAATTCAAACACCTCCTCATCTCCTTTGGCCGAATTTTGCTAAAGCTCATACTCCTAATTTATTTCTCAAAATCAAATAATTGATTTAGGAAATAAATCCCCACCTTCTCTCTCAAGTTGCCGCCGCCCCCTCCTCCCTTCTCTCTCTCTCTCTCTCTCTCTCTCTCTCTCTCTCTCATTAACGCTCCTCGCCCAATTTAGGGAGATTAATTTCCCCTCCTAATTTTTGCCCCTCCCCCCCCCCCCCCCCCCTTACTTTCAAAATCTGAAATTTATTTCAGATTTTTGAAATTAGAGCGCTCCATCAATCTCACCCTACTCCACGTGTGGTTCTCCTTCCGTGGCCGGCCTTCTCCTACTTGAATTGTTGAAGGAAGCCCCCTTCTTTCTTGAAGGTTTCTTCAATGCGACAAAGGATCAATATATTCAACACTTCGACGCTTGGAAGAGATCTCTTCTCCTCCAATTGAACCTTCACAAGAAACTACGTCAAACTTTGTCAACACATCGCCTACTTGTCTCCGGGTTTTGATAAGGGTGAACTTCTTCCCCTTGTTATTTTACTTCTCTAATTCCCCTAATCTTGTAGGTGATGGAGATTCACAAGGAACCGAACTTCACCTTTGCCTAAGCTTAGTAAACGTAGGATTGAGTGCACTTTATTGGCTTCTAATCTTATTGTTAGATTAGGGATTTCTGTTGAAGGCTATTCTATTTGCATGACTTGATTTTCTATGTTGTTTTGATAATCCAAATGCTTAGTATGCAACTTAGCCTAAACGGAAGTGACCACTCTTATATTTTATTTGTTCGTTTAATTTGCTAATAGTTTTAATCGTAATTGCTCTTACCAAGAAATCGTGCAAATTCTTTTAGATTCATTTTAAGCATTTAGTTATACATCACTGGCGGTTTAATGGAGTAGGAAGGGAGGGGACGAGAAAGAAAAGATGACGAACCCGGATGTTTCTTGCGGCTAGTGGGTGATCTAATTCCCTCACCTAGGAATTTTTCTCCAAGAACTCTAAGGTCTCACAAAAACACATGGTTGCTGAAATTTTCATAATAAACATTTATTACCTATCCAAAGAGGAAGAGGGGATATAAATAGCTAGGGTTTACAATGAACAATAAAAAAAGACACATATGCCCCTAAGGGTCACAAACAAAATTCCCTCAAGTGAGGGTAGAAACGAAAAATGCATAAAATAAATAAAATACATATGATAACTCAAAAATAAATCGGTGCGATTGTGGCCGTAGATCGTCGGCCCCGCCTCTGGTAAACTCTCCAAAGCCTGATGTCCTCATCACCACTAGCCCACATGCTGAGTGGTTGCAATCACTTTTTCACATCTGAATCAAGACATCATGGCCTTGACATCCCTTCTTTTTAGACCGTACTCTTAAAAACTCTACCTATATCCTTGAGAGAAAGCTGGACTTGAGTGAATTTTTTTTTTTAGCATGCAAAAATTTTGTCAAAATATTGTCATGGAGTAAAACTTCCTAGTGTTAATTCAATTTTTAATAAGCTGCTTCACCAGATAAACAGTAAAGGGACAAGTAGTGGAAGTTCCCAAGAAACATAATGAAGCAGATTTTCACAAACAAAAAAACCTGCGTAAACAACAGAAATTATGAGGGAAAGTTTATAATTTATCCGTAGGACTTGCAACAGAGGTGCAAGCTTAAAATTTACCTATCAATGATTTTTAGACGTCCTTCAGGTAACCATAGACCAATATCTCCAGTATGCAGCCATCCATCTTCATCAACAACCTCCTTCCTGTACATCGTTCAAGGTTTCAAATCATCAACTAAATTTGAGGTAAATTCAAAAGAATTACTGAGAAAAAGCAATTACGTCTGCACATCATCTTTGTAGTAGCCTAGAAATACTATAGGTCCTCTAACACAGATTTCTCCACGAGGATATGGATGGTCTTCAGAGGTGTAGTTCATCTCAGGAACATCAACAAGCTTGATTTCTGGATGTATAAAAAGCAAGATTAATATAAGAGGACAATTTGATATATAGAAGCCATAACAGCAAAGAGAGAGCATAAAAAAATTTGCATTCCTCTTTAAAAGCTATGTAATTTGAAATTATGACCAACTGAAATATTCCTGACAGATAGATCTAAATGGAAAAGTAACCAAATGGAAGTAAACCAACACAAACTGACAAGCGAAATAACTTCACTGTCAATTCAGAAACGAACTTTTTTTTAATAGATTTAAATGAGAATTTGAATTTTAACAAGACACAATGGAGAAAAAGGCTTCGTGTAGCCGATCCCACTAACTTGGTTAAAAAGGCTTCGTGTCGCCGATCCCACGTAGTTGGTTAAAAGCTTGATGTTGTTGTTGTTGTCAATTTATATTGTATATAATACAAGAAAAATATATTGTATTATAAGAGATAGGAACAAATAGGATTACCGGCATTTCAGTTTTCTAATCAATCCTGCGAAGGATGACATATTTCAAACGCAATAAAATAGACGCTGATAAATCTCTGAAAAGGCAAATTCTTACACTTAACAGCTATAGAGTTAACTACCAACAAGATTTGGCAAAATAAATTTAGATTTGTAGTAATTTTGGACCCAATAAGAACTGCAAACAGCAGCCTTGCCATGGATTGGAAGATATCATGGCTGCTAGATTTCTGAAATCATATCTGGAAGGTGATGAAAAGGCGGACAGCAATCAAGATGTTAAAAGAAACCAATAGGAATTAGGAACCTATTCTGAAATAGTACATAAAGAGGACAACAATCTAACCCAGCTTGGCATGACAATCCAGCGAGCTGGACCCTGCCGGTTTCTTGCAGTGATTCCCTACTTTATCTCCCAGTTCATTCCAACAAAGAACCACCACACGCTAAATCAAAGACCCTGATTTCCTAGTTACATATTTGCAAAGAAAGAAGAAGATTGTTCTGTGTTTACATCCCAATATTTGTGCCAACTGTTTTTCCATTTTTCCACTCATGGACGTTCAGGCGTTCACACTTTCCCGCCTTTTGCCCACTATTTGGGCTGTGTATTCTCTATGTATTATGTAATTTGAATTGTGATGTAGACAAAGGGGGGTCAACTCATGTAAAAAATAATTAGATTTTTGACTTCCCTTGAGTCTACTAGCTCAAATAAATTTGAGCTGAAATTTTAGCTCATTTATGAGCTGGTCTTTAATTCACTTATTGAACTAAGGGTTAGCTCATTATTAGCTAAGCTTTAGCTCATATTTATCTTTTATTTAATGCACTTTTATTATAGTTTTTAATGTTTAAAGTTATGTTGCCTCTTGGGTTCCAAAAGGGCTTTTGGAATTCCAAGATTGATGTTTTATTTTCCCATGTGTGGCTCCTTGAATTCCACCATGATTTTTAATGCATTTGCCACCTTGGATTCCGGCCGGCTGCTAGTTTTCCGTGCCTGGGCTCTTTCCCGTGGCCGTGGCTCTTTGGTTCTGTGCGGCTTCCTCGTCTCCCGTGGCTGACTCTTCGGTTCCTTGGCTTGGGTGTGTTTTTTCGTGCAAAGCAATTAAGTGTTTTAATGCTATGTGCTGTTTAGGTTCTTGGGATAATTAATGTTAGTGTCTCTTTGTATTCCCTTTCATACCTATATATATGGGGGATTTATAATGTTTGAAGTAAGTGAATTATATGTAATTTTTGGAAAACTATAACCTGCGGGTTTGCTTGGATAAGCTAGCGAGCTTTGTCCGTCTTCTTTCTCATCCCTTCCGGAAATCCTGCGGGCTCTTTCCAACCTTTCTTCTCGGGCTTCTAACCTCTTTCGTCTCTCCGCAAGTGACCACCTCACCTGTATCCCTCTTCTAAATGTGAAGCAACTATAGGGTGTCTTTTGATTTCGAGTCAGGATTTGTAATCCGTCGTCGTGTATTTTTTTAATTTCTATTTTAGTTTTATTTGAAATGTAAAAGTTTGCTCGTCCTACTTCTCATTCTTAATCATTTCGTTGGAAGTGTTTGTTTTGTCGGTGTCAATTTCTTTTGTGATAAAAAAATATAGGGTCCCCTATATTTTTTGATTGCATCAAATTGCCATTTCCTCAATCTTTTATATCCCTCATAATTCTCTAGTTCTTCTCTCAGTTCATCTTCCATCATGGTCGTGAAGATGGTTAAACACGGAACAACTTCTGATATAAGTTTCTCCTCTGACGCCACCTACAGCTGTGAAACAATTCCTTAAAGCAACTTCACCAGTTAAGAAAGCTCTCATATCTGTTTGTTATTATTAGAAGCTCAATAGGAAAAGCAACCTTCAGTAGACCCAGCCTGTCATAAAGTTTATAATGCGCCAAGACCCAAACCAGCCCTTTGGTAGGGTGGAACCAAGGGCGGTAAAGGGGGTGATTTTGGGCCCCGTTGTGGGGCCAAGGCAAGCTATTATTCTTCAGGGGGTGGGCTGGTTAGGAAGGTTTCCTAATTGTGTTTTTAGTGAGAAACTGAATGAAACTAGGTCTAAGTATTCTACTTATGATTTAGAGTTCTACGCTATTGTGCAAGCTTTAAAATTCTGGAGATGTTACTGGATTCAACGAGAATATGTTTTAAATACTGATCATGAAGCACTTCGTTTTTTGGGCTCTCAAAAAAATTTGAATAAGAGGCATGCCAAATGGGTTTCATTTTTGCAAGAATATACTTTTCATATCAAACATAAAACTGGTGTTTTGAATAAAGTTGCTAATGCTTTAAGTCGGAGGTCTCACTTGTTAATAACTATTTACCCGACTGTTACTTCTTTTGAGTTTTTGAAAGAAACTTATGCCAGTGATTCTGACTTTAAAGACATTTGGGAATTGGGAAGTCTGTCTTTCTTCAGGAACTCATCCATCGGGTCAATACATTATTCAGCAAGGGTTTTTGTTTAAAGGTTCTAGACTTTGCATTTCAAATAATTCCTTAAGAGAACAGTTAGTGCATGAACTTCATAGTGGGGCTTTGAGTGGACATTTTGGTCAAGAGAAAACTATTGTTATGGTAGAAGAAAAATATTTATGGCCTCATATGAGAAAACAAATTGCTAAATTAGTGAAACAATGTAAAATCTATCAAGCTTTTAAAGGAACATCACAGAATACTGGTTTATACACTCCTCTCCCAATTCCAAATAAACCTTAGGAGGATATTTCTATGGATTTTGTTCTTGGTCTTCCGGTTACTCCTAGAAAGCATGATTCTGTTTTTGTTGTTGTTGATCGTTTTAGTAAAATGACTCATTTCATCCCTTGCAAAAAAACTTCGGATGCTTCACATGTGGCTGATTTATTTTTTAAAGAAATTGTTCGTCTTCATGGTGTCCCTCGTACATTTACTTCTGATCGGGATACTAGATTTTTAAGTCACTTTTGGAGAACTCTATGGGCTAAATTAGGCACTTCTCTTCAAGTTAGTAGTGCTTATCATCCTCAAACCGATGGACAAACTGAAGTTGTCAATCGAAGTTTGGGAAACCTTTTGAGATGTCTTGCTGGTGAGAAACCTTTTCAATGGGATTTAATTCTTCCCCAAGCTGAATTTGCATATAATAATTCTGTTGATAGAACTTCTGGAAAAACTCCCTTTGAAATTTTATATGGTCAGTCTATTCCACATATTTTGGATAGGAATGATTTGTCTTTACCTAACAAAGTAAGTGCTGAAGCTTTAGAATCTTTTGACCATATCAAATCAGTCCAAGAGCAAGTTCTTGAAAAACTCCATATAACTAATGTCAAATACAAAGCGGCTACAGATAAACATCGAAGAGGGGTAATTTTTAAAGAATGTGACATGGTAATGGCTTACTTTCGTTGGCAACGATTTCCGGTTGGAACTTTTGGTAAACTAAGCAGAAAAAAATTCGGACCTTTCCAAATTATCTGAAAGCTGGGCACAAATGCATACCTCTTGGATCTACCTATTACTGTTGGAACTTCTCCTATATTTAATGTTTCTGACCTTTCTTTATATGAAGGAGATATAGGTGACTCTGTGGATGTTGAAACTTTACCACTTTTCTCAAAAGGCTTACGAGAGGTAGAAGAAGGAATGGACAAAGCTCTCAAGTTTTTGATCACATAGGAACATGTGATACTGAAGCTTGTATAAACGATCTTGAAGTGAGTCGGTAGAATCTCCTTCTGTAGGTAACCATCTGTCCAATAGAAGTGGGACATCAGGATTATGTTGATCGCTTTCTTTCTTGAATGTAGCCATATTTTGGGTATTTTCCATTTTTTGACAGACTAAAAAAAAGACTCAAAAAATTCAGCCTAAACTTAGACTCAAATTAAGACTCTTTAACAAACTCGACAAAACAAAATTTGACAACAAAACTTTGACAAACTACCACTTGACGACTAAAACAAATTTGACAAACCACAAACCTAGGACTTCCTAACTTGCTCTGATACCAAATAATGCAATCAAAAAATATAGGGGGGCCCTATATTTTTTTATCACAAAAAATATAGAAAGAAATTATCTTTCTACGACGACAAAGAACACGACGAAGAAGAAAAACTAGAATGAGGACAAACTAACTCTTATATTTCAAATTAAAGAAATATAAAGAAATTAAAAAAAACAAAACTTGACTCGATCAAAGACACCCTAAAATTGCTTCACTTGAGAAGAGGGATACAGGTGGAGTGGCACTTGCGGGAGAGATGAAAGAGGTTAGAAGCCCGAGAAGAAAGGTTGGAAAGAGCCCGCAGGATTTCCGGAGGGGATGAGAAAGAATGGTGGAAAGAGCCCGCATGATTTCCAAGCAAACCCGCAGGTTATAACTTTTCCAAAAATAACATCACATTCAACTTTTTAAAACATTACAATACCCCCATATATATAGGTATGAAAGGGGAGGACCAAAAGACACTAACATTAAATTCTCATAGGAATTCTAAACATCACAACATACACATAATTACTTTGCACGAAAAAACACATCCCAACCCAAGAACCGAA